AGGTCTCTTCCCTCTTCATAACTGAATGCTTTGTTCGCTTCCTTCTTTCTGACACCTTCTCCCTATATCTGTGCTTTTTTTCTCAGCTCATTAGCATAGTGGTGACTGATGGAGCTAATGAGTTATGAGCCCTAAAATATGCTGACTGTAGTTAAGGTCGAAAACTTGTCAACAAGTCAGTAGACTAATACTTTGAATCTCTTAAAATTCACTGCTTTTGTTTTTTTAAATGAAAAACTGACCAAATGCAGTGGTAGATAAAGTGAGAATATAAATGTTTTGAACAAATAAACTGGTACTAAAAGTTAGCAGCAGGCACATTGTTTATGCTAGAAAGGTAGAAAGCAGAAAGGGTAGAAGTACAGTAGGAGAGTCCAGAGGCTATGGGGACTACATGGGACTGCTTGTATGATGGTGTGCCTTAACACAGTCCCTGGTAATCTCTTATCAGAGAGGTAACATGGTGGGAGAAGGGACTAGAAAATGGCCAAACATTTTAAATTATTATATGATGGGTGGATGAAGGAGCTGACCAGGGACAGGTTAAAAAAAAACAAAACCCAAAAAAACTTTACCCAAGTGACATTAACCAGTTAACATTAAACATACACTTTAGTGATACTGATTTCAAGTAATGAGATCTTCTCAGTCTGTAGGTAGGAGTTGGGATACAGGGGTAGAGAAGCCGGACCCTTGGACTGACTTATGGCTTGAGTGCAAGGATCTCCAGAAACCGAAGGAGCAAGGTTCTGAGGTCAGGAAGCTGGGAAAGTGAAGTAGAGACAGGAGGAAATGATGGGTCGATAGAGAGGATTGTAAAAGAGGCATTTTTCATACACAGGGATTTCTCCTTTGGGCTGAGGTATAAACATGATTTTAGGAAGTTTCCGGATATTTCGGTTAGAATTGGGGGCAAACTACTCTCGTCATGTTTTAAAATCCCCAGTTTTAATAAAACTTAGGTAAGTTGAAGCTGTTTCCATATTTGCATTTGTCAGAAATAAAATACATCTTTGTGCAAGTTCGAGTTGTTTTTCTTGAATATTGAAATCTCTGGTTGAGTGAATATAATATAATTTTAAACTACTAAGATAGTGTGATTTTGGGCAAATGGTTTCACATCTGAAGTAAGTTCCAATTTTCTCAGCTGTGAAATGGGACTCATGGCCTTACCTTCAGTGCCACGTGTATAATGAGGTCATGTGGACAAAGGACTTACCACACACTAAATGAACAACAAATGTAGAAATCCTGTTTTCTCATCAGGTATTCCTTGGTCCCCTGATCCTTTATCTCTGCCAGTGGACCTAGGATTCTTTTAGCTTTCATTGGCTTTTAGCAAAGTAAATCCTGGTAAAGCATTGATTTGTGGCTGGCTTAGGTTAGATTCAATGGCATGACTTATTTAAATTACATGAGATTGTGTAGTAGCTGTAGAGTAGGGAGTGGTCAGGCATATTGAGTGAGGTACAAAAAGGCCGAAAATATTTGCTAAGTGGAAATTCATATTCTTACTGTTATGCCTTTCTGTTTGATCATTCGGGACCTGTCCCTTGCTTCAAAACCCCTTTACCCAGACTTCAAGTTGGCCTCTACCTTTTTTGTTCTTGTGTTCAGATAACTGTTAAGATTAGTTTTCTGAATTAAGAAGCCAAAATCTGTTTGTGACTACAGTATACAAATTTTCCTTCTAAAAAGAGTTAGAAATTTCAGCAATTTCAGCAATTGACCTTTATAGCCATTAATTTTTGTTTTGTTTTCTTTACACTGTGGTGTTTTGTCTCTCTTAACTAAGTGACAGAGTTTTGGTGTATAGGTTTTGCAACTTTCAGTTCAAATTAGTTCAATGTATCTTATATGGTCCCTTCTGTATTTATGCATTTTGGGGAAAAAATTATCGTCCTTTTGTAAGAAATGCCAAGTCAAGTATACATAAAAACAATTTTGAAACGTATATGAAAAAAAATTTGCTTTGGGTCAGCCCTTGTTAATTTGTATAATCAAATTGAATATATTAGAGGTAGTCGGACTTGTCAAATCTCTGTGCAAAATAGAAGGCGGTGAATTTTTGTTTTATTTGTCAAAATAATAACCATGTCATTTTATTATCCTTCAGAACATATTGAAGATTACATTAAATAATGTTATGAAATCTTTATATGCGTGTCAGAGTGATGCAGTCTAAGAGTTTGACCTCATCTAAGAGTGAATCACCATCAGCAGCAGCTCAGATTTGGTCCATGGGGTGGAGTCAGACACACCTCCGTTCTGTGGCATTTTCACCAATGTTGACACCATCTCCTTCTCATGGCCCCAGTGCCCGAAGACCCCACACTCTGCCAGCAAACCTCCTGTCTCTGCCGCCGAGCTTTGCACTCTGTTGACCTGGGATGCCCACTGCACCTCAGCTTCCTGCTTCCGCTGCTGCACTCCATTCCTGGTGTAGTTTTAGGGGTGGTTATGCAATCCATCTGTCTGCCTTTGGCGTGGCTTATTTTCAGCCTAGTGGGATGGCAAAACCGACCAGTCCCTTGGTAGGGTCCCATGCATCTTATTTACGTTATTATCTCATCCAATCTTGGTGGGTTACAAGCAGCCATTTTGTGGGCAGTACAAAGACTACAACTAGAAAAGATCTATCAACTAATTTTCTGCCCTGTAATATGCCTGAATAAAGTTGATATATGTTACAACTAGAAAAGTAAAAGTTTTTGCAGAAATACTGTTAGAGGGAGAGAGAACACAAATAACCACACACCCGTTTCATTGATTTCAACCAAAAACAGGGGTCTTTTTTTAAGTAAAACTTGGCAGGGGCAAGTCCAGTGAACCTACTAATTTAATAAGTTGCAATATATAATATTCTATCCTATTAGGAATACGGTGGGTTTTTTTTGCCTTAAAATTTTTTTTTTAATTATTATTTTAAAAATTTTTTATAAATCATTTTATTAGGGGCTCATACAACTCTTATCACAGTCTATACATACATCAATTGTGTAAAGCATATTTGTACATTCATTGCCCTCATCATTCTCAGAACATTTCCTCTCCACTTAAGCCCCCGGCATTAGGTCGGAACACGTTTTTATCATGTTTTGATAAAAGTAAAAATAATATTTTAAAATAGCCACATCAAAGCACCATATGAGTAAAGACTTAATGAATATTATGATGAAATGTATATATTTATTAGGAGTACAAAACTTTCTAATTAAATATGAGTGCAATGTGTATATGTTTTACAGCCCTAAGTACTTATGTTTATTACTTTGCTAATTAATATGTTTGCCAAGAGTCAAAAAACTTCTAAATATCAAATATTGATAAGATAAGGATTTCTTTTATTTCACCCAAAAACAGTAGGCAAAGATAAGAATTTATGCTCTAGATTTTTTGTTTCACATTATTTCCATACATACCTCTTTTTTTATTATGGTATAATGTTTTAAATATTCCTTCATATTTATTACCTTCATTCTTACAAGTTTTGGTATTTATACACTCACTCACTCACTCACTCACTCACTCACTCACTCACTCACTCACTCACTCACATCCAAACAATTCTGATTCCTAGAGACCCTATAGGACTTGGTAGAACTGCTCCTTGTGGGTTTTGACTGTCACTCTGTAAGAGAGTAGAAAACCTCATCTTTCTCCTGAGTAGCAGCTGATGGTTTTGAACTCCTAACCTTGGGGTTAACAGTTCAATGCATAACTTCTTCCTCACCAGGGATCCTGTGGTATTTATACTAGTGTCATTTAATATTCTGTTTTCAGTGAAAAGTTTATGTTCCCATTGACAAATTTTACACAGGTTGTCCAATGGGATTGCATTAATTATATTTTCCACATGTGTACGCGTGTTCTTGAATTGTATTCTGGTTGCTTCATTTTCAGTACTCTACTTTCCTTGTTACTTTATTGTCTCTCATCTTTGCTTTAAAATAATTGTTGACCTTTTGGTTATTATACTCGTGTTCATTTTTGCCATATCTTCTTCACTGTGCTTGTCTTTAGCAATGGACCTGAACATGGGTTGGCAGGTTTTTAAAGGGAGAAGGAACGCAAATGTAGTTTAAAGTAGTGTCATTTCAAAAAAAAAGTCATTTAGTGGGAGAAGCTAATTTTATTAGGTAATAAGAATATTGATAAGGTAGAATTTTAAGTGTGTAAGACAGGAGTGTGACTTTAAAGATGAAAAAGGTTGGCTTTGTTTCAGAGAATAAGGGGTTATTGGATGTAAATTATTTTGATGATATACAGAAATTAATGAATTCCTTTTTTGAAAATGTGAAAACATGGGACTTTTTAAAAAATGTGGTTTTAAAGAATGTAAATATGGATAGCTTTAAATATTCCCTGAATCGTTGAAAAACTGATAGAAAAATGGGTGTAATTTTAATTTGTCTCTCCAGAGTTCGAGTAGCATATAGCTATTGAAAACTGTTTGTTTGAATTTTTTTAATCTAAAGGAATCTGTATAGTAATTTCTTTCGAAGTAATTTGGTTTCTTAAATAGTTTACATTTCTGTTTCATCAGAGATTACTGATGTTTTGTTAGGGTTCACATTGAATTTCTTTTTATTCTTTTGAAGGAAAGCAGTTTCATTGCCATAGCTATGGTTGTGTTAAATAGGTAGCAAAGAACAGCCTGGTTTGAGAAGATAAATGTCAAGAGTGCCCAAAGTAGACATTTAGTCTTTCAGATTAATGGCAAAGAAGGTCAGTAATTGTATGGATTTCAAGAAGCTTAGAAAATAATATTCTTGTGGTGCTATAGTCATATTGAAATGTTGAATTAACTTCTAGATACGGCATTTTTGCTTTTTGACTAGTTTATTGTGACAGAATCTATTTTGATTCCCAATTATATGGAATATAGCTGATAAACTACTTGATATGTTCTGGAGGAAAACTTAGAACCATGTATATATTTGTGAAATTTATGGATTGTTTTTTCTGACTTTTCATACTATTTTCTTCTTGTTCTCCAGGGCCCTCCGGAATTTCCACAGCATACACCTGGACCTGTTCCCAATAATTTTAACCAGCCCCCACGGCTTCCTCTTCAGGACCAGTGGAGAGCGCCCCCCCCTCCTCAGGAACGGGACCCTTTTTTCTTAGGAGGTAGATAACGAAAGTGACATAACACAGGTTCCCCACACACACACACACACTTATAATTTCTAATTGAATTTCGGGGATTTTGTTAAGATTCTCAGCTTTATACCATGGCTATTCTGTCTTTGTCTTTCTCTCATATTGGATGCTGAAATTGGGTATTTTTGATATCTGAAATGTGGAGATCTCATAAAAGAAGAAAACATTAGTAGACTAGAACTAATGAAAAAGTTTAGAAATAAAAGGAAAAACATAGAATTCTAATTTGTCTCCAAACATATCCTGTAACTTTGGGCTATAATAAAGCAACATATTTTCTTTTTTCTTCTAAGAAATGTATGTGTTTATAACCCAGGAGGTAATGTTGATTGTACCACCATTTAGTTTCAGGTGAACCAAGGTTTCCAAGTCATCTTTTTCTGGAACAAAGGAGTCCACCTCCACCTCCACCTCCTCCCACACTTCTTAACAGTACTCATCCTGTTCCTACTCCGAGTTCTTTACCGTTCACTCAGCCTGGACCCGCATTTAATCAACAAGGACAGCAGCCAGGATTTCCGAGAGAAAGGCCTGTAAGACCAAACCTTCAACCTCCAGGCCCAGTGGGGATTCTTCACTTTAGCCCGCCAGGATCAGCAAATACACGGCCTTTTATTCCTCCCAGACAGCCGTTCTTGCCTGGCCCAGGACAGCCATTTCTACCAACACATGCACAGCCTAATCTGCAGGTATGTATCCCGAGGAACACTTGAAACTTCATGTTTCGTTGTAAATCATAAAAGTGAAGTTTCCATTTTTTTTATTGTGATCTAATTGACATTATTTGAAGAATAAGGATATTTACCTTAAATGTGCTGTATATTAAAAGACAACTTTCTTGGAATTGTTGTTTATCTCCATAAGAAGAGGAGAAATGGAAAGATATGTCCTTTTAAGCAATGAGAAAAATATACTAAGATTTTTAAAGGAATGTACTGTTAGTAAAATACATTTGCTCATCGTTGAATGTTTCTTAAAAGGTTTATGCTAATAGAAGTAGACAACTTTGTAAATTATATTCTTACACTATATGAGAACAAGTTAAAAAGAATTGCTTCAAAATCATAGAAGCCGTTATTAAGCAAAAATAACAAGAAGTTACTGCTATTCTTTCTTGGCATGTCTCCATCTAAGTCTGTAAAATTCCGAGGGAGTAGTGAATTGGGCTGTTAACTGCAAGGTCACCTTGGGAAAACACCAGCTGCTCCGTGGGAGAAAGATGAACTTTCTACTCCCATAAACGTGCATGCTTGTGGAAGCCCCGTTGCAGTTCTGCTCTGTCCTTTGTAGTTTGCGTATGAGTTGGAATTGACTTGGTAGAAGTGAGTTTGGGAACCTTTCCAAAGAATTCAGCGCCCTCTGTGTCGTGTCAAAATGACATTTCTGACACCCTCGAGGGACTCGTGTAGTGTTAATATGAAGGTTTTTTTGAGCTTCGGGAACAAAAGCCTGAAATGGGCTAGATCATGGCTGTAGATGAGGTAAGGTTTCCCAATGAAACTCGGATGGGACCAGGTGCATTGTCATGATGAATAAAAATTTCCTAGTCTTTTCACCAGTGCAGTTTTCAATTTTCTTTAAACTCCTTTCTTATAATATAGCCCCTATGCTTTTCCCATGACCTTCTAGAAAATGTATCAGTAGTACCACTTTGGGTCCTTCAGAGCAGTCATGCAAACTGGTCCAGCAGATAGACTCAGGAGCCATTGTTTTGATTGGACTGGTTTTCTTTTTAAGGCACCCTAACAAGACAAGTGTGTTACTGAGAGCACTTGTCTTCAGTCATTCACTGAGCCCAGAGACGTGCTTAAGCAGGTTTTGTTTGGAATAAACTTACATATGTATGAACCGGAACCTGTGATTGAGCATCACACATAAGAAAATACTATCGCTCCATACTCTTTCTTACTCTTGACTTGAGTGCCCTCTGCTGGTGGAATCATGTTTCATAGATCAACTTCAGGATTTGTCATCTTTCTTACCCAGTGTATTTCTTCTTTTAAGTTTGTTGTTGTATAAATACATCTGTGATGATATGCTTCACTCATTCCTTTAGAAACACAATAGAATATGTGTCTAAAAACAGGTGATTATTATTTAAGGTGTTAAAGCAGAGTAAAAGATTTTAATTTTTCTTTACAATTCATCTTTATTGTAGAAATGCTAATATAAATTTAATAATCTGATCACCTAAAAACAATCACCACACATTTGTATATGTATGATTTCGGTCTTTTTTTAATGCATGCATTCTCATTACCATGCCTTCCCACCCCGTCCTCACTTAATACATCATTATTGTTTTTGTGGCAGTGAATTTTTCATCACGACATCATTTTTAAAAGGAGCCCTAATGATGTAGGTCAACAGTTTGACCTAGCAGTTACTCATGGCAGAAAGATGAGATCGTCTATGCCCACGAAGAGTCCAAAACCCCCAGGGGCAGTTCTACCCTGCCCTACAGGGTTGCTGGGAGTCAGAATTGACTCAATGGCAGTGAGTTCTTACATCATACCTCGTTATAAACGTCACAAGATTATGCTTTATGATGGTCTGTGTTTGCACGTGTGTGTGTCTCTCCTCACCCTTTAAGATTTTGGTATGTAAACAGTGCTGTAGACAATGTCCTGAAGGCCAAGTGTTGGCTGGCATTTTTAGTTACTTAAGATTAACAGTATGGAATGACTGAGTTAAAAGGATTTAGGACAAATAAAATTTAAGATCGTTTTGGCTTTTTACTGTATTTAAGATAGTATTATTGTCAATAAATCTAACATGAAGTTGTAATACCATTTAAAATTTCTGTGTTGAGTGACTGAATTGAAATATAACTAGGATCTACATTTACAAACTCCTGCTTTTCTTTTCTTTTGAACCTGCAGGGGCCACTGCATCCTCCATTGCCACCTCCACATCAACCTCAGCCTCAACAGCAGCAACCTCAGCATCAGCAGCAGCCCCAGCATCATCAGCACCAGCCCCCGCTTCAACCCCAACACCAACCACCACATCAGCCTCCACACCAACCTCCTCCCCAGCATCAGCCTCCTCACCAGCCACAGCATCAGCCACAGCACCAGCCTCCACATCAACCTCAGCAGCACCAGCACCAGCACCACCACCACCTTTCTGTTCCTCCTCCTCCTCTGATGCCCATGTCTCAGCCACAGTTTCGGCCTCATATGCAGACGGCTCAGCCTCAGCCGAGTAACAGTAGAATGCAGTGTCCCCAGCGGCAAGGTCTGAGGCATGTAGGTATCACACCGTGTTTGTTGTCTCCCTCGGAGGCCTTTAAGTTATAGGACTTTGGGGGCATTATTTGTGAGTTAGAATTTATTCCATTTCTTATTTAAATTGGTAAAACATGTAGCATATCTACAGTAGATCAGTATGTCGAGACCAAAGTGTTGATGTTACTAGGTGTGGAGGAAGGGGAGATGGGATCATTTTTGATGAAGGATACTACTTTGTGTGAAGGGTAAAGGAAAATTTTTGAAACTGGTGGTGGTTGCAGAACACTGTGAATATAATTACACTGAATTCTAGACCTAAAAATAGCTAAGATGATAAATGTTTTCTTATATGATATATATTTGCTATAATGTGTATCTCAATAAGCTTCAAATTTTAAATGTTCACTGAAATGAATGATCTTGGGCGGGGTCAGGGAACACTAGGAGATTTCTTAACTGAAGAATTGAATAATTTAGTTATTTTTGTATAATAACTGTATTAATATTACTTAATTTCAATGATACCAACGAAAACAAACTCCGTATCAGATTGCCTGTGACTCACGTGGCACAAAGCAGAACTGCTCCAGAGGGTTCTCTTGGTTCGAAACTTTTATGTCAGCAGCCAATCCCCACTGAACTTGTTCATAGACACATAATTTTAGAAAATGTCTTTTATTGATAAGATACTCTATGCCAGTGGATTACTTTTTATTGTATAGATGACCTCTACCGCTGAGTTCTAAACAGGTAAATAAAATCAGCAATAATATATAGACGATCTTGTGTGGTCAGACACAACTCTAGACCTTTTACTGGTTCACCCTTCAGTTACAAGCATGGCATGGAGTCCCAGTGCATCTCAGTTTTCCGGATACGTGCCACCCCCGCCCCATTCCCGTAGAGATAAAAATGGTAGAAGAAAGCATTTTTAGACTTGAGGAGAGGGTGCTTTGTAACCTTGATTTTGTTTTGTTAGAATAATGGCAGAATGTAGCAGGAGCCGTATGGACTTTAAATCTCTGACCTGAGTGATCTTGGA